ATATATACACACACACATACACACACACACACACACAGGATGGAAAATATTTCTCAAACAAATTAAATTCAGTGAATGTGGTTTCCGTTCAAGAAACGCCATTCCTTCTAAAATGAATAGTTAAAATCAAACGGAAATGCAAACAACATTCTACAAGTCTCTGATGGCATTATCAAATATTCTGAGAAGATTTTTCACATGAACATTCGTATGAAAATCTATCAGTGAATGGCTAGATTAATTTACGTATTTCCACTCTGGCCAAACAAGATAGCCAATAATACCTTCCTTTCCAGGCCATTTTCAGTTATGTGATAGATTGACTGACAATTGACTTGGTCATGCAAATTCATTTCCTATATTTCTTTCAAGACTGATAGAGCTTTCCTTTGGTGGTAGTTAATAACCACTGGGTTTTCTATTTTTTATTATACAAAAGGAAAAAATACCACACTTACTTTAAAAAAAAAACAGTTTTAAAAACATGTAAAAAAAAAGCCAGGACAGGACAAATACCACCAAAATATCTATTTGGAAAGTAGACATCCCAAGGTGATTTGCATGCTGGAAATTAGGTGGTGTAACAGCATATTTTATTTTTAACCGGAGTGTTGAATAGGGATGAGAAAGTTACATTGCCCTTTACAGGAAGATAATTCCACATACTTTGCACCCTTTTCAATGAGGTACCCTAGGAGGGGACTTAGTACTGACTGACTGACCGACGCTGGGGGAGGCGGGGGGAGAAGAGGAGAGAGACACACTGACCGACGCTGGAGAGAAACACTGACAGACGCTGGGGGGAACGAGTGGAGAAAGTTTAAGAAGGCCTGCCCTAGAGAGCCATCAACAGGTGTCAAAGCTGAGAAGAGTTTTATATTTTTTCATTCCTTTCATTTGCAATCTATTATTGTGACCATTTCATAAATCATGTAAAAAAAAATACACATTAGTGCCCAAGTGGCTCTTTAGATTTTGTCTGTGATCTGTGCTGTCCAACAGCAGCATGATCACAGGCATGGTGAGCGCTTTTTAAAACATCCAGTCAGAATAAGAAGTTCCCCAACTAGTCATTTCATTGCAAGGGCCAGTTGTAAAGTGGTTAAGCAACATATAAATATGTATAGTATATGAATGCATACCTCCTAGAGTTGAGATGATAAAGAAAGGACACCTTTAACTACAAAAATAAGTCCAGCCAAAACTTTAATATGTTTTTTTTAATCATTTAGATAGTGGCTATAACCATTTCCTGCTCTGTCAGATTTTTATTGTGGTCTATATCCCTGTTGGAGAGATACCCCCTCACCTTCTGTTAGCCTTAATTGAGAAGCATACGAAAATAGAAATCCATTCCTAGTAGAGTGAGGAAGGGTTTGAATTTACTACTGTTCATATCTCTGTGTCCTATTGATGACCACTCCCCCATTTCATGAATAGGCATCATAGAGACAGGAATGGAATAGAAGACTCTCCCACTTTAGGGCTTGTTCACACAATGTCCGGACCAGATCTGGTCCAGATCTGGTTTTTGACTCGTTCAAGTAGAAAAAAATGTATTTATTTATTTTTTGCTGGAGTGAGGCTTCAGTATGTTAGCTGCAGTGCAGTGCGTTTGTGACGCGTTTTCGGACCGTATCCAGACCAGACAAAATGTGACATGCAGTATTTTCTCTGTCCGGAACGGACTGCACTCTTGAGAACTGTAGCCCATAAAACACATAGGGATACATTAGGATGCATTTTGGGTGCATGAGCGCACGGATCTGGTCCGGACAGAATACAGACGTCGTGTAAACAAGCCCTTAAAGGTCACAGACATAAACTAATACCAGAGAGAACATTTTAATTCTTCTACACTCTATCCAAAACCAACAAAATATTTTTGCCCGGAGTTCAATTTTAAGGCAAAATACTATTGCCACTACCATACCATGCTACTGTCAGGTTAAAATTAAGCCAGTTTAGCAGCCAAAAATGTTTTTGTCTATAAGCAGTGCCCAACAAACAAAAAATAGAATGGTGTGAAAAACAATGGTGTGAGTAATTTAACATGCTGATGTTTAGATGTGCTGTCTATAACAAGCTTAATGTCATCACATTTCTAAAAAAGAAAAGTGCTTACTAGGGCAACACTACTTAATCTTTTTGTTAGGGTATGTAAAAAGCAACAGTAACTTATTGTGGACAGTAAAATAATTATAATAGTGCATATTTTAGTACAGATGACTAGTGGCAAGGGGTCAGATGGACAGGAAGTGACTGGTAATTCCTTTGACCTTTTGTCGTCCGCCCGTTGTGAAAAAACGGAAGGGCGGCAGACCCACATTGGCGGGTTGCCGTCATCAGACGGCATTTTTTTCCTGCGCGCACGGGCAGAAAAAAGCCGCCCGTTCTTTACAGCCATTACCGGCTGTTTGACATACAACTGATCGGCGGCTCTATAGCCTGCCGATCGTATGTATGTGCTGGCTGAGTGCCGCCCCCTCCTGACCCCTCACCTGGGATCCGCTAGCCCATCTGCGGCCTGGGACCGGCTAGGGAGGGCATCAGGAGGTAAGATGGGAGGAAGATCAGCATCTTCCTCCTTGCTGTTCTCCCTCCGTGCTGTGAATGCGGAAGTGATGTGTAATACATCACTTCCGCCTTCACCTGTCAGTCATCTGGCTGCTATAGCCAGAGAAAAGAAGCTGATGAAGCAGATGTCTGCTTCATCAGCTTCTTTTGGGGTCCCCATGTGACATTATTCTCAGAGACCCCTAATGTCTCCATAAAGAGGACCTGCAGTGTGCATTTGCTATTATATAGGGGGATAATGTGATAGCAATAACAATAAGTGTAAAAAAAATAAAAGTCACATATAAAAAAGTTTAAAAAAAAAAATTTTTTAAGAACCCCACCCCCACATATAAAGTAAATACGCGTTTGATGCGCCAGCGTGTGAAAATGACAATTGCGCTACACATGTTACATATCGTCACGAACATTGGAGTGAGAGCAATCATTTCAGGGCCATCAATCACTGATAACACTAAACTGATGAGCGGTGTTTCGTGTCTATTTACCCGACGTGACCCCATCTCTTATATTTTAGCAAAAAATTGGGTAAAAAATGTTTTATCATTTAATATAGGGGAAACCGTTTGTTTTTTTATTTTTGGTAATTTTTCCTTAATATATTAAAAAATAAAACCCCCCAGTGGTGATTAAATACCAAAAGAAAGCTCTGTCCCTAAAAAATGGTATAAAATAAATTTCAGTACAGCGTCGCATGACGGAATAAATGTCAGTCAAAGTACCGCAGCGCTAAATACTGAAAAATGGCCTGGACAGGAAGGGGGTTTAACACCGCGGACTTCAAGTGGTTAAAAGGGATGCAGACAGTAACAAAAAACTGTTTCTAGTACAGTGGAAAATGGTCAGAACCTTGGTCATTTATTTTATTGTTGCTTTATTGTGCTGCTTTCTGTCTTGCTAACCTTTATTCCCCTTATATCATTTTCTGGTGTCACTGACACACAGTAAGGGTAAATCTCCCCAGTGACATCACATACAGCAAAACATTGCTAATAGAGGGTCTAACTCTTCTCAACTTTTTTAAAAACTAAAACAAAACAAAAAAACATGAGTTAGTTACCTGGTAACTGTTTCTAGCAATATTCCAGAATAGCCAATGAGATAAAAAAGACACTCCTACAAACCCACCTCAGTACTTTTAAAGACAGAAGGCCAATACATGAGTAGCTTCTCAAACCTTCTCCGTCTTTCTAATCCTATGTCATATGACCCCTAGGGGTCCGGCATCACCTCAACATTGACATCGGGAGGGAACTTGCTGTCTAGGCAGATTCCTGGAAACATTTATCAGGTAACTAATGTTTTCCCCAGTCATCTTCCAGGACAGCCAATGAGAGGATCAGCGAGAACCATGCTCACTAAGATGTCCCTCTCAGAAACCAGACCGTTAGACGCAGTGCTTGCACCTGCGGGTGACACACCATTCCTTGCATTAATAGCTCTTCCTTCAGTGGAAGCGGTAAAGGGATATCCCTGGTCGTATCCAGCAGTGCCATGAACCAAGGCCTCTTCTGCCAGAACGGGACAATCAACACTAATGCTGTCTCCTCCCTCTCCACTTTCCGAATAACTTTTGTAATCAAGTTACAAAACTGTGACCTGGTCCCTCCTTGTCTTTTTATGTATGGCACTGATGTGGCATTGTCTAACAGTACTAAAACGTGTTTTCCCTCTAATTGTCGTTGAAAATGCAAGAGGGCAAGGCACACCGCCTTCAATTCCAGCAGGTTTGATAATTTGTACCGCCAAACACGATCCCACGTCCCCTGGCACATGAGATCCTGGAGGTGGGCTCCCCACCCCCAATC